TTCAAACAAGGGGACGGAAGCAGTCAAGAAGTGTAAGAGAGTGTAACCATCGTAATGGACTCGTAGAGGTCATCCCCGACAAGTCATACTATGACCACCTATCGTCAATAAGAACTTAAAGCGTCTCCATGAGGGCACATTCACACTGAGAACCCAAGATTCGAGTATATCATGTTTCTGCGGACTTACGAAAGTATTCATAGAAACGATACCTCCTCAGCCAATCGTATAACTCTCAGATGCTTTAACCTGTGGTCTTTATAGAGGGACTGCGGAGAACGTTGAAGCATCTCATCAGTGGATCGTAGAACACGGTCTATAAAACACAATGGTTGTTAGAAAAACTGAAACGTGTGACAATAGATGAAAACAAAGTAATGGTGTGAGCTCACTGCTAACATCTGTAGCCTAGACGTTTGCTGATTTGTCGAATGGTTGTAGATCTCCCAACTGGCCCTTAGAGAAAGAAGACATCTACGAGTAGCTCAGCGTTCGCTCGGACACATATTTCGAATCTGGCGTTAACTGTTGTGAACTAATTGTGGCGCTCTGGATGATAATATTGTCCCTAGCTAGACCACCTCACTCGGCCCATCCGCAAACATGAGGCTCATGTTAGATCCAACCCAGCCTTGTGGCAGCACTCTTCGCTTCTCAGGTGTGAAGCGCGTACCAAACCACGATGCATTACGGTGGCATCAGATCCGTGAATAGCATACCCGGTATCTGTAGTGAACACATTGAGAGCATTTCGGTCCCACGGATACGGCAGTGAAGTGTCGGTGTTGAACACTAATGTCATGCTGTCGATGATGATGATGATGATGACGATATCAAAGGCTTGGAGTGAATCTTCTATGACCATATCACTGATGAAGTTGGAAGGGGAAGGTGCAAGAGGGCAGTCTTCTTGGTTGTTGATCAGGTGGCTGTTGATCTGTTCGCCGAGCTTGACAAGTGACTGGTAAACCTTTCGTCACCATACGAGGAGACATCATCAGTGCGCACTTGGGTGGGGAAGTCTTGTTTGACGCCACTGGATGCTTCCATGGGGTGGGGGTATTCAGTTCGCCCAACCAGACTCAGTTAAAAACCCTAGTTTACCCAGGATAACTGTTCGGCTACTGGCTTTAAAGTAACATTTTTTTATTTTACTTTTGAAAATGCCGGCTAAAATTGGGAGGAGAACCCTCTGTCTATCGATAGAACCACTGAATAAAAGCATAGTAAAGGTATGTCGTCAAAGTATCTCTTTATCAAATCCACTAATTTCAACTGAACCATAAAATTACAAATACAGTCGAGTGTTCATTGATAAACAGATGAAATGTTCAGAAGACACATCCATCCAGTGCTGACGTTTGCATTCTGGACAGAACGCATCACCTAGGCCGTAGACACGATTGTTTCCGGATGGGTTCTAACAGCCCTTTTGGCCAACTTCATTCGCATGGTACTGTGAGCCACTTATGTCAAATATAGGACATGGTGGACAACCGCCTGTATATCCTTAAAAACATGTACAATCCAGGGGATAAATGTGTCCGAGTGTTCTCTCGTGTGGGCGCTTCTTATAGAGGTATTAGTGACAAATTTAGACCGAAGGGAAATTGGGCCTTTTCTCCACTCACCATTCCAAGGTATACACTAATTTTGAAACGAGTCAAAGGACGAAAAGAAATCTAATTGGCGTAGCTAACCCTATTTGCGAAGATGAACAATAACTTGATTATCTGGGTATCGAAGTTCAAAACTACAGAACTGTATCCGATCACACAGTGAGATATTACTATGTTTTTCTTAGCTGACAGTCTGATTATCGCTGGCTAGAGAAAGACAGTGACGGTGGAGATTCCGTGCACTTGCACTTTTGTCTAAGAACTTGTCATCCCCGTTGTCATCTATGGACAGAACAGGCAGTCTTGCTAGAGTTTGCGCGATGATGCCTGTCTGTTCTAGTGATTTCGCGGGAACTTGCGGGAACTACGCCTACCTGATGAGCCCCAAAAATGGCGAAACTGATCGTAGGCTGTCGACGGATTTTTAGAAACCTTATGAGTAGTACACTACAAAGATATACTTGCTAGCTGACTTACGAGGAGCTCACCTCCTAACCTCTACGAACCCGTGATACCACCCATGAGATTCTGTGTGTTGGTGCTGCACGTCAGAACATCATTGAAACGACCGAAACAAGGTAGTTTCATAATTTAGCGACCAGGAAGCGAGTGAATGGACATACGTTATTGCGTGGCTCCAACATGGTTATCCCCTTTTCAAAAAGACAGTCAAGCAATACTACTTCTGGCGACCAGTAGTTGGTTCTTCATTAATAGTGAGAGTGACATCCTCTCCCGATGGAAAATAACGCGTTCGCTGTATTTTGTGGTCCTTCCAGCGCGCGAAAGGACGCTACACTTATTCGCTTTTGTGAGCGAATTTGTACACCGTCGAGCGAAGCGGTAGCCAAGTAAATCCTGAGGTCGCTGCTGCGGTGTTTACAGTAGAGCAGTGGATGTCAGTCGCAACATTATCCGTTCAACCCGTACAAAGTGACCACAAATCATGATTATTCGTATTGTCTGCCCCAATCACAACTTGGTTTGTTTACCCGGATGACAGCTTATTTTTCTTGTCTTAAGAATATTGTTTTTGTTTATCGAAGTCTCCTTTTCGCGAAAACGGTCAAACATGCGTGACCGCGTAGTGTAGGAGAGCGGGCATGGCCGATGTTATCGTCAGGCGTAACTAATCCTATAGAACCAAACAACACAATATCGTTGCCGAAAATACAATTATTTAATAGGGTGCTTTCGGTATTGCAAGATAAAATTTGCTAGTGATTTGTTGGCGCGCGTTGAAGAAACGCCCGATCGACTGCGATTCCTCTAATTTGAAGCAGTGCATTCCGGACATTTCTAGGTTTTCAAACTACATGGCCGTTCGAGCAGTTGGCATCTTCCAATCTTACCTTCACTTTAGGTTGAGAAGGCCAGAGTTAACTCTGAATTTGATGCCAGTTGTTCTTAACTGACTCGAGGAAGTTGCTCCTCTGTTCTGGAAGGATGGAATTGTGCATGTATTCGGGCATCTTTTGTGAGTGTGTGGTGTAAAATTTGGTTCCTTCCGGAATCACTGCTTCAGCTTAAATTTTTAATGTAACTTATTGAATCAGTCAGCAGCCGCTGTGTTGGCATCATTATGAATGGTTTTCGTGAAACCCGATGTAGACTCAATATTAATCACGCGGTTAATATAAAGTAAATAAGTCGTTGAGCTGCGGCACCGTTGCATAGCTACTACTATTTAACCTGAAGAAAGTACGAGGGCTGAGACAGTGCCCAAGCCCAAACAAGAGCTGTCGAAACCAGAGTTATGTTCGAACAAGCGTACCGTTGCGTTACTTCACCGTAATCTCTGTGAAGTCGAGTCGTTGTGTTTTGTTTCATCTTATAATCCAACCTCAACATCTTTTAATCCGTTTGCGACTGTAACATGCTCTAACGAGTGTGATTTGTGCTGAATCCCAACCCATTGAGTTCAGACCAGAAGAGCCTTTCGACTTGGCGCTACAGGGTATCACTAATTGTTTAGCGTGATGACCGATTGGAAACCTGAATCAGTGACATACATATCCTTCTCTGTGATGTTTCCTTCCACAGAGTAGCTCAAAAGTGTCTCTTTTTGTGGTTCTAAGTGAGCTTGTGTGGTCGTAGGAAGTTTTGAAATAGAAATTGTGTTGGTTGCTGGCAGGGAATGTCTGCTTTCCGGGAGTTCGACTAACCTTTGCTGAGGTCCTTTTGCTCGATCTATCTAGTGGGTAAAGGTAAGAGTATATAATGTGTTTTTTAGAAGGGAATCAAGACCAGGTAATTTTCGATCCTCGGTTTAAAGCATAGCTCTGATTCTGGGTCTGTTTGGCGTCTTGAGTTGAATTCTTTTTTTATACACTCGAAAGTTGCGTGTGGTGGTCGTGGAGATGAAGACAAAAACGTGCTTAATGTCACTTCGCTTTCTTGTGGGGAAACAGCTGTATTCAGTGTATGGACTTAATAATGCTCAAAATTGGTGAAACATTGGGCGTGAGCCAAAAACCAGACAGCCTGGCTGCCGGTTTTTATCCATGGGATGTATTGGAATAACCTACCTAAATTGTAATACACTGTCCTCAGTTGGGAGGTACCGAAAGTCCTATTCTCAGGGTGTGCGGGCTTGGTGACTAAGATTGACCCCATCACATGCATTCGGCATCGGGATATAGAGGTTTTGTTTGTGTGTTATAAAATTTTGCGCCTTCCATCTGGATTACTGCAAATGCTCAGCCATCCTATCTAAAACAGACTAGCGCAGCGTGGCGAATCCGCATAGTGGCCATCAGTTTGTCTAGGTTCTCAGAGAAGAATAATCAGTGTGCTACCTATGTGGACTCGGATAGTTCCAGCCAAGTGATCATCTGGATTTACTTGGATCTAGAATTGAGAATCATGTTTACCAAGTGTCAAGCTTCATTTTGTGTCTTAGCTCCATCATTTTCGGTCCGTATCTGGAATTTTCCATCTTTGCGCGCTTTGTGTTCCCTAGGTAGATCATTCATCAAGCCGCCGTTCCACAACGACGTACCAGAACCGCTTAGACTTGACGGTTAATCTTAATCGATGGATTACTGCATTTCGATTGCGGCTGTTATGCGTAGAAACTAATATGTTTGGTCCTTGGATCCTGAATGTTTCTTTCCTCGTGGGGCATTGTAGTGGTAAAGTTCTGAGCAGTATAAATTGTTTTCCATCAGGTTTGGTGGGCGTCTTTGTGTGGTCAATGGTACTTATTTAGTTTGGACTACTGTAGGCAGTTAGAAGAGTGTTCAGCATCTGAACAGCGCCATTTCTTTTTCTGCGCGCATTCAGTACAATTCCGTACTAATTACATGCGGTTGAAAAAATTTGGACATTTTTCCTCTGTTCTTGCTGTCCAATACTTGTGTTTCCTCTCTCACCTTGAAGGTATCACCGACCTTGACCCAATTTACGAGTGAATATCGACTTGGATATTCATTGCCCGCATCCACGACTCATTCTACATTGGCCTTTACACAGTGCCTTTCATCCTGCCACTGCGCTTCACTAAGCAGCGGCTACCTGTTCAACTCGTTTGGTACCACGAACCCGGTGTCTACACCCACTGGCACTCGCTTATTTGTTGTTCCATGTCTCCGGTCATTGGGACTAATCCGCTGCGTTTTCAACCTGATTCTCGTCAAGGCCCACTACCAATCGTGCCTTGCTATTCTCTTTGTTGATTTCTCATTTGATCAGTTCGTTCGTATTCATTCTGAATACAACATTCGAGACTTTGATCAATCTGGTTTAATGCAATCCCACCCCTGTTCTGTCGCCAGCACCATCACATGCAATGTACATACAAACTGTTAATTTCGATTGGTCGTTGAATGCGTTGGTCTTTTTCAGTCTTTTTTCCAGATGTTTTCATTGACGCTCTTCAAATGTCTCTGTACTTGTAGAATCCTACCCCTGGAAATATTTAATATCACCTATCATTTCTCTGATCAGTGTTTTTATTATTTTACTGCCAGCAACACGGTAGCACTGTATCATCGTTGTGTGCCAACTGAGTTGTACTGCACAGGATATGTGACTGGTGCAAATGAGGGCGATTGGCTTCCTGCTGGCCGATTAATCTACTTCACAGACAATTCTGAATTGATTATTTTGTCCCAGTCTCTATCAAAACTGGTGCTCCAACTGGACTGTCCACTCACTCTCGGATTGTGTTCAGTTACTCGATGTTCCTGAGTCGCAAGAGTTCTGTTGGCGGACGGTTATTGTGTGGAAGCTGTTCGCATCGTCTTGAATGGGCCTATCCCATGAGTGAGAGAGTAGCTCTGAATACACTGTCTCTTGTTTAGGAGCTTTACACGTCAGTGGGGCATTTCTAGCCTTTGAACAAAAATTCGTTTTATATACTATTTGCAAACTTGTCAGCTATCTTTTTTCACGGATAAATCATCTTTAGTTGTGTTCGTTGAGGGCTGAGTGTCATCTGCGCCACACTCACTCATGTCCAACACTAATTCCGTGTGAACACATCTGTCTTCAGAATACTTGAATGCCTGGTTTAGGTCGGAATTTACAGTTACACTTACGTTTTGTTTGTTGATCCAAGGGAGCCGACAGCAATTTAAAGGCGTGGTGGGAAGCACATATAATATGAATCCTCCAGCAACGTTGATTGCTCCAGTTGGGCTTCAGCCTCGAAACTGAGGTGTTAATGTGTTAATACAGAGTGTAACAACAAAAAAATATTCACCAAGTGTGCCTCTTCAGCTCCTTTTTTTTTGGGGGGGGGGGCGAACCTTACGGTTCAACCCTACAGTTTGTGAAAAACCTCTACTGGAGCAAACTTAACGGGAGATGTTTGATAAATAAATTATGTATGCAAAACGATGTGTCTGTATGCTAATTTTCAAAGTCCGTCCGTACTTTCCGAGACAATAACCATGTTACACAACGCCAGAATATTCCGGTGGTTTTGGGTGCTAATTTGGAGCGTAAAGCATCTCTGTGCAGCGTTTTGCATTGCAAGCGGTTTCTTGTACAATCGTGGAAATGTTTTGAGTAGGAATCCCCGGCTTCGATATCAAGTAATTTAAGAAGCCATAGTGGCTAATTAGTTATTTCCCGTCGATTCACTAAACTAACTACCTGAGTGAACGCAGAGTTAGTGAAAAAAGAAATTCCATGTAGATGTTGGGTGCCGCTCATAGGCAGCACAGACCTGATGCTAGAACGTCCCTATGAAGTGCGGATATAACTCATCTCTAATCCCAGAATAAATTCTGTCACTTCATTAGACTGTAAAAATAAGGTGTTGAATGTGCATTGCAAGTGGGTGATTCTAAGACAAACGGCTTCTAGTGTAAAAAAAAGTGGAGAATATCTTCACGCAGTTGTCGAGCACATTGAACTTATTTCACTTCACTCCTCCCGTACGCCCCTACCATACCAGCAGAAGGATGAACATCCACAGACGTCGTAAAACACAGTTAGGTCCTACAGTTAGGGCCTACACGGACGCCCTCTCAAATGCAGAATCGTGGCCCGCCCGATTATGGGTTAGTTAGAGTTTTTCGCCCAGTTTCCGAATTTCAATATTGGTTGCACGTCTCTGCCGTTGCCAGTTGTTCGCTTGTCACACGAACCAACGGGATCCCGCTTCATTCATCTTGTGGCTCGTCTCTTTTGGTTTGCCATACTAACATTCACCATTCTTATAGCACGTCTTCCCGGCTGCTCACCGCTTTGTTGACTCTGACCCGTGTAGTCTTCAGTGATCACTTTTCAGCTGTTTTATTGCATGGCAAATCGAGATCTGTTCCCCATTTCGTAGTAATCATTTTTAATTTAGCGATGGTGGTGTGTAGACAACCTGTTTTCGAATGTGAACTCAACAGGACACATGACATAATTGTGCAAACCGATGAGCGATTGTGCGGTCCTCAGGACTGATGATGACTATACACATTGTCCCATTTGCACCCAGCCTTTACCAAATGTAATTGCTTCTCTTGCATGTATAAGTCCGTTTTACCTTTTTTCTCGATACAACTTTGTTCTCTGCTCTGTCCGCTCGTAGTCATGTCATCTAAGCATCATGATTATGCTTGTTTTCCCTCGTTCACTTGTATTGCCACATCTTCCTCGGTCTTTCATGCTACTTAGACTCGTGGTTGAGAACCAGACCGTGCATCCGAGCTTAGGAAATAAACTTAAAGGAAGAGATATTTGAAAACCAACTGTCCCATTCACACCAATGCAATTAAAGCTTTGATACCTCTGGAACCAAAGAGTGAAAAAGTCAGAGAAATATGGTCTTTCGCTGACAACTGATGCTGAAAACTTAGAGATTAGGCCGAAACCGACGTGCTAAAGATAAAAAATCATCTTTCTAGGTTAATTCTGGACCTTCCGTTTCGTTTTCTTATTCCGAACATCAAGCACGAACTAAAGAAAATCCTCCTGTTTTGGAAATGACGGATCGATAGTGCAGCCGAATAGAAAATAAGGAAAAAAGCTTGATGCGATCCTTTCAGTACGTGGTTGCGCTCCTAGTGAATGCTCCGGGAGTAACGTCATTTGAGAGGCCTGAAATCCCCCGGGCTCGAATTTCACACTACCACCATTCAGGGTAACATGACGTGTACGCTAGAGGTGCCCTTAATAACATGCCCAACCTATTTAGAATGATTCTTAGCACCGTGGCGTATTCCGGTCGGTAAACTGCCGTACATTTCACCACAGCATTTTCAAAAGCAAATTCAACATGGAAAAACTCATCATCTAGTTCCAAATGCAGATTTATCTTTTCAGTCCTCAAAGAGCCTCAGAATGTCGTTTCGTGAGAGGCCCTTCGGTGAAATCTCTTACCCCATGGAAATTGCATAGAATGTGTCAGAACTGTTTCCGACGCAGTTTTGGATTCGTCCGATGAAATCGACACTGTGATTAAAATTTGCTGCCAGGTGACGCGGTTGCGCAACTCTACCGCATATTCAGAACCATCGTTTCGGAATTCCAATCAGTGAGGCACAGATCTCTAATCCGCAACGCAGAAACGTTGTAAACTGAGAGTGGTTGCTTGCCATGAGAAGGATACACTGCCTTCTCTTGTTGAAGGATCCGCGATAATTGCTGGTTTCAGCCGCTGTAAAACAGACCCGGACAACCGTTATGGATTTTTAGGTGTCCTCTAACAATCCTCCGCATCGATGTTGGCAGTTCTGGGTACAATTTCTCGGGTCGTAATAGTGGGGACTCTCTGCAAAGTCAGACCACTATGCCCAATTGAGTGGTGACATGCTCGTGGTTACTAGCCGCTTCCAAGAAGGTAGCACTGATCTTTCGGCTAAGTGACATAATACCCCATTTCGGTGCATGCTTTGCATTACCTGCTAATACTCACGAACATTCAACGCCTTTCTGTCTGCTAGCCTTCGTTGCAGAGTTATTCATTGGAAAACACCAACTGAATAGTTAGAGACTATAGGACAGGGAAGCAAAACTCTCATGCGCATCTTCTTTTTAAAAACTGAATACACGTCTCCTTCTCAAACGCGTCTTCCTGGACTTTCTTGGATACTCACTGACTATCGCTAAAATGTAAACGAATGCTACAAAGCAAGTTCACAGATTCCGTAATAAATCGCATTTTCAGTAGACGCGAAGCGGATTTACGAGGAAGCATAATACTGGTATGCTTCATCAGTAGCATCCACCGTTACACACCTTCCCCATTTAAAGGCCGTTCGCATGACACCGATTTTTATCTACCTCTGCTAGGTCGGCTTCAGCAGCTGGTCTGTTCGGCCGCTCTTCGGGTGTTTCCTGCCACTTACGAAGCTGGGTCCCATTTACTGATTTTGATCTACGAACATCTTGAATTGTGTAAACGTTCTCCCGGCGGTCGGTAACGACAAACGGCCCTTGCCATCGACTGCCCAGCTTCACGACCCCAGTCCACCCTTTCCAAGATTCTGGTAATTCTTTCACTTGACCTTCATTCCTATGAGGAATGTTCGTGCCTTTCTACTTGTCGTTTTCTGCCTAGTCCTTTCCTGAAGGGTGGTCAAGTTTTCTCGAGCTTTCCTCCTTTATGCCTCTAACTCCCTCGAAGACAAGCGTGTTGCCGGCCACAACCCAATCTCCTGGTGAACCGGATGGCGCGGTACATCAGCATGAACGGGGTTTTGCCTCTAGTTGGCTGTATGGAAGCACGATGAGCTAGCAAAAACACTGGCAATTTCACGTCTCAGTCACCTCCCTTAGCCGCCAACCATTCCTTGATCGTTCGGTTATTACGTTCTGTTAGACCATTTGTTTGCACGTGGCATGGTGCCGTCCTTAGCCGTCTGATACCCAGCTTCTGTAAGCAATTCCTAAACTCTTCCCACTGAAAGCAAGGCCTTCAATCGGTTCGGATCATTTTTGGCACCCCGTAGTTGGGCACGACGTGATGTATTACCGTTCCTCTGATGGTCGTCGCCCGTTGACTTGGCACGACTGCCGCACGGACTCACCGCGACAAGTGTTCCGTCATGATCACGATGTATAGATTTTCGCTGGTTGTCACCTTAAAGGGGTCTATGACGTCAATGGACCATAACTCGCCGATTTCTAATACAAGGTTAGGTTCCATGGGAAGGGTTGCCCCTGTCGTGCCCCCTTTCATCAGTTGGCACCGCCTACAGGACATCACATAATTCATCACCTCACTCCTCATCCCGGGCCAGTAGGCACCCTGTGGAACTAAGTCGTACTTCTTAGTGCACCCTGTATGTGCCATCGCATGGCATTTGACAATAAGCTTCCGACTCAGGACTCAAGGTATCATGGGCAGCAGTACATCAGAATCGGTGGCGTTCCGGGAAATTTGTCAGCTTTATTCATATTCACCCGATCAAAGTGACTCTAGAAAGTTTTCAATTTCTCGTCTCCCTCTCCGTTCTTAATACTCCTTCCATCCAACAAGGCGGCTG